TCTGGATTTTGTGGTTTTTTTTTTGTTTTTGTTTTTTTATCCAGGTTATTTCTGATATTTTTCATGGTAGCATGTTTCCCCTCACTCATTGTAAAGGGCACACAGTGGCCCTTTTGATTTGGTAAATCATGTTAGGGAACATAAGTTCAGTTAATGGTAAAATTTTTTTTGATTATTTCTTTGATGATTTGCTTAGTTCTGTTATTTTTCTGTATGGTTTTTTATTTGTATATTGGACTTTTGAACTAATTTTCCAATTTTTAATATTTTGTGTTTATCTGGTTTTTTTTTTCCCACTTTCTGAGGCAGTTCCTTACTTTGTCTTCTAACCCTTCACTTAAATTTCTGAAGTCTATTATACTCTGTGTTCTTTATTTTTTACATCTGTTTTTATTTCTTGTATGCAGTATCTTTTTTTTTTTTTAATTGAAGTGTAGTTGATGCATAATGTTACATTATTTTCAGGGGTACAACATAGTGATTCCACAACTCTCTATGGTATGCTGTGCTCATCACAAGTATAGCTGTCACGGTATATATAATGCTGTTACACAATCACTGACTATATTCCTTATGATGTGCCTTTTCATCCTTGTGACTTATTCATTCCATAACTAGAGGCCTGTATCTTCTACTCCCCCATCACACATTTTGCCCATTCCCTCAGTCAATCACCAGTTTTTGGATTTATGGGTTTGTTTTTGCTTATTTTCTTTGTTCATTCATTTGTTGTGTTTAGATCCCACATATAAACAAAATTGAATGGTATTTCTTTTTCTGACTTATTTCACTTAACATAATACTCTCTAGATCCATCCCTGTTTTGGCAAATGGCAAGATCTCATTCTTTTTTTATGGCTCAGTTATACTTCATTGTGTGTTTGTATGTATGTGTACACACACTACATGTTCTTTATTCATTTATTTATCCATGGACACTTAAGTTGATTCTGTATCTTGGTTATTGTAAATAATGCTGCAATAAACATAAAGGTGCATATATTTTTTTGGATTCGTGTTTTCATTTTCTCTTGGTAAATATTCAGTAGTGGAATTATTAGATCATATGCTAATCTATTTTTTTAAAAAGATTTTATTTATTTATTTTGAGAGAGAGAGAGAGCATATGCTCAGGTTGGGGGAGGGATAGAGGGGGAGAGAGAATCTCAAGCAGATTCCCCTCTAAGTGTGGAGCCTGACGCAGGGCTTGATGTCACAACTGTGATATCGTGACCTGAGCCGAAATCAAGAGTCAGATGCCAGGTGCCCCATGGTAATCTATTTTTAATTTTCGATGAACTTCCATTTTGTTTTCCACAGTGGCTGCACCAATTTATTCTCCCACCATCCGTGCACAAGTTTTCCCTTTATTCCATATCCTTGTCAGCACTTGTTAATTCTTCTGTTTTTGATACTAGCCATTCTTACTAGTGTAAAGTGATAATCTCATTGTGGTTTTAATTTGCATTTCCCTGATGATGAGTGATGTTGAGCATCTTTTCATGTGTTTGTTGGCCATCTGTATGTCTTATTTGGAAAAATATCTATTTCAGGTACTATTTATTTATTTATGAGAGAGCTGAGAGAGAGCATGAGCAGAGGCAGGGGAGAGGGAGAAGCAGGCTCCCTGCTGAGCAGGGAGCCAGACACGGGGCTCGATCCCAGGACTCTGGGATCATGACCTGAGCCAAAGGCAGATGCTTAACCAACTGAGCCACCGAGGCACCCATTTCTTTTTTTTTTTTTTTTTTTTAAAAGATTTTATTTTTAGGGGTGTCTCGGTGGCTCAGTTGGTTAAGCATCTGCCTTTGGCTCGGGTCATGGTCCCGGGGTCCTGGGATCGAGCCTGGCATTGGGTTCTCTGCTCAGTGGGGAGTCTGCTTCTCATTCTCTTTCTGTGCTCACGTGCTCTCTCTCTCGCTCATTCGCTCTTGTTTTCAAATAAATAAATAAAATCTTAAAATTTTTATTTTAAAGATTTTATTTATTTGACAGAGCAGGAGAGCATAGGCAGGGGGATCGGCAGAGAGGGAGAAGCAAGCTTCCCGATGAGCAGAGAGCTTGATGCGGGGCTCGATCCCAGGACCCTGGGATCATGACCGAAGCTGAAGGCAGTTGCTTAAGCAACTGAGTCACCCAGGTGCCTCAAAAAAGATTTTATTTTTAAGTAATCTCTGTACCCAGTGTGGGGCTTGAACTCTAGACTCTGAGATCAAGAGTCGTACACTCCACTGACTGAGCCACCCAGGTGCCCCCCGCTCCGCTTTTTTTTTTTTCCCCTGCTCATTTTTTTTTTTTTAAGATTTTATTTATTTATTTGACAGAGAGACAATGAGAGAGGGAACACAAGAAAGGGGGGAGTGTGAGTGGGAGAAGCAGGCTTCCCACGGAGCAGGGAGCCCGATGCGGGGCTTGATCCCAGGACCCTGGGATCATGACCTGAACTGTAGGCAGACGCTTAACGACTGAGCCACCCAGGCACCCCTCCCTGCTCATTTTTTAATTGGATATTTTGGTGTTGAGTTGTAGAAGTTCTTTTTTTTTTGTAAATTTTGTATATCTTTTTTATTTTTTATCTTTTTAAGTAGGCTCCACACTCAATATGGGCCTTAAACTCATAACCCTGAGATTAAGTGTCACATGCTCCATCTACTGAGCCAGCCAGGTGCCCCTATTTTGTATATATTTAGAATATTAATCCCTTATCAGATACATCATTTGCATATATTTTCTCCCATTCAGTGGGTTGCCTTTTCATTTTGTTGAGGGTTTCCTTTGCTGTGCAAAAGCATTTTATTTTGATGTAGTCCAGTGATTTATTTTTGCTTTTGTTTCCCTTGCCTGAGGAGACATATCTAGAAAAATGTTTCTATGGCTGATGTCACAGATTTTAACTGCCAATGTTTTCTTCTAAGAGTTTTCTGGTGTCAGGTCTCACATTGAGGTCTTGAATCAATTTTGAGTTTATTTTTGTGTGTGACTAAGAAAGTGGTCCAGGTTTGTTCTTTTGCATGTTGCTGTCCGGTTTTCCCAGCACCCTTTGTTGAAGAGTCTGTCTTTTCCCCATTGTATATTCTTGCTTCTTTTGTTGTAGATTAATTGACCATAAAAGAGTGGGGTTATTTCTGAGCTCTCTATTCTGTTCCACTGATCTGTGTGTCTGTTTTTGTGCCAGTACCATACTGTTTTGATTATTATAGCATTGTATATCTTGAAATCTGGGGTTGTGGTACCTCCAGCTTTGGTCTTCTTTCTCAAGATTGCTTTGGCCATTTGGAGTCTTGTGGTTCTGTACAAATTTTAGTTTTATTGTAGTTATGTGAAACATGTTCCTTTTTTGTTAGGGATTATAGCTTACTGTGGGTAGTAAGGATATTTTAACAATATTGGTTCTTCCATTCCATGAATATGGAGTATCTTTTGGATGCTATTTTTCTCTTAACTGTGAGGATATTAGTCAGAACGTTTTTTTGTTTTGTTTTGTTTTGTCTCAGTTTTCTGAAGTTTTCGTCTGCTCCTGGGACTTTTTTCCTCAGAATTCCTTTGTATCATTGTTTGGGCCTGTCTTGTTAGAGACCTTGTTTAAAAATGTGGTGACTCTTAGCCACCTATTTGAATTTAAGACAAACTCCTAATGAGTTGATTGGAAGCTGTGTGTGTGTGTGTGTGTGTGTGTGTGTGTGTGTGTGTGGGCAGGGATTGTTGCTGATTGACTTTGTTATAGGTGATCTAACTGGATTCTTTTATTAGGAGACCACCAGCTGGTTAGCTTATTGAGAGGGAAATCTTCCAATCATCTGTTTCGGATTGACAAACCTGGTTATTCAATATTCTTTGAGCCAGATGTTTGCCGGAATTTCACTATTTACAGTTAGATTTTCAGTTAATTCCTATTTTTCGGTATGGTACCCCTTTCCTCAGCTGTGCCTGGTATCCCCAAATCCAGATTTCCTCGTTTACCCTTTCTGCAATTTTCCAGGATGGGTGTAGTTGAGAAGGAGATTAGTGGGAAGTTTGGTTGTTTTTCAGAGTATATCCCGTCTCTCCTCACCTGAACCCATTCCTTTTGGATACATATACCTCCACCTGTGCGTGTGTGACTCCCTATCCCTGATGCCTGGTACCTCCAGTTGCTGCTGTATAGTCTAAGATACATGCTTTTGGGCTTATCTTACTACAACAACCTTTTCTGATTTGTTAAGTCACTTACTACTTGTCTCCTTTCTAGCTTCCGAAATTTTATAGCTGTTGTCTTCTCTTACGTTCTTTTTCTGTTTGTAGCTTTAGTTCCTATCTCATTTACTGGTGTTCTAGGAAGGAGAGGAGGTAGTTTTTAAGTGGAATTAACTATTTGTGCTTGTGATGTCGTCTTTTACCATCTCTTTCAGGGCTTTGTTTTATGTTTTAGTGTGTTCTTTCTACTTGATTTTTCTTCCCTCACTCCACACACATTTTTGAATTTTTCCATAGATTCTACTTTCCCTTTACATTTTTCACCTTTCATTTTTTGTCTTTTCTCTTTCATTAGCAAGCTTCCTGGAAGAATAAAGCTGTAGTTGATAACTCCGCTTCAATTGTCTGTTATAGTGTAGCCTCTTAGTTGTGCATAATGATTGAGATACAACTTAATTGTCATTTTAAGCAATAGCATATGAAATCTGCATTTGCTATAGTATTCTCATCATGGACACTTGTCCATTTTGTCTTTCAGTGACCCTTGTATAGAAGCCCATGTACTAGAAATTCTTTTAATAATTTAGCTTCAGGAAAATTGACTCCTGGTATATTTCCTCCTTTTTCCTAGCTCCCGGATACGCATTCTGTTTTTCTTTTTGTTCTGGCTATCAGGCAGCCTAGAACCAAATCTGGTCTTTAGTTACATCAGTTGTATTAATCTGATTAATAGTATATTTGTTTCTTCCTCCTCCTCCTGTGGGGTTTAGGACTTCACCTCTTATCTCTGTTTCGCTGCGTGTTGATTTCATTCTCTCATACTACAGACTCTCTACTTCATGAGGCTGGAACCATGACTGCTGGCAGCTCTTGGCTCTCATCTTCCCAGCCCCTTCTACCAGAAGAAGGGGCTCTCTTGAAGAATCCTGGGAAGGACTCTGATTGGCCTGTCTTGGATCATGTACCCACCATTCCTGTGGCTGGAGTGGGGAGGGTACTATGAATGGCAACCCTCACTAGAACTACATAGTTGGAGTCAGGGGTAAGAGCAGTTTCCCTAAATCAGGGGGATGTCCTTCATACTAGCTTTCAATGTTCATTTTTCTACTTTTTATTGTTATAATACAGGTTGTTTATCTGTAGGCTGCCTCAAATCCTTTTCTGAAGAAAGTTTGGGTGTAAATAAGTGCATAAGATGTCACAAACTCCTATTCATTCACCTTTGATACCGTTACATTTGGCTCTTAAGTCCACCACCATTGATTTTGCTGTTAATTTCAAATGGGCAAATCCAAAATTTTTTCAGTTTTCATTCTGTTTGATCCACTTTCAGCATTTAAAACTGTGATTACTCCATTGCTCTGTGATCCCTAGTGCCATTGCAAAAACTGTGATCACTCCATTGCAACTCTCTCTTCTCATGACATTTGGGAAGCTCCTTTCTTCTCTTAACTCTTTAAACATTTCCTTTTGGTTTCCTGTTTGGCATTACTTCCTTACTTCTTTAAAATTTAAGTTACATGATTGCTTTTCTCGCTTGTTTATTTGATTACTTTACCCTATGAAAACTTATGATGCATGCTTGGGGATCTTTTAAGCATCAATATCACCTAAACAATTTTATTCCAGCCTTCCGATCCATATTTGCAATTACCTTCTGGATATCTCTATTTAGGTGTCTTAGGCATCTTAAATTTAATTTTTCTACCACTATAGTCACTGGCATAATTTAAGCTTTAATTTTTTGTCTAGATAATTATAACAGCTTAAATTAACTTATTTAGTTTTTGGTAAGGTGATATATTGACATGGTTCAAAAAAAAAAAGATAAACAGTGGGGTGCCTGGGTAGCTCAGTCGGTTAAGCGTCTGACTTCAGCTCAGGTCATGATCTCAGCGTCCTGGGATCAAGCTCCACATCAGGCTCCCTGCTCAGCGGCGAGTCTCCCTCTCCATCTCCTCCCCCCCCACCCCCCGCTTGTGCTGCTCTCTCTCAAATAAAGTCTTAAAAAAAAAAAAAAGATAAAGAGGTGTGCCTGGTCGGCTCAGTTGGTGGAGCTTGAGACTCTTGACCTTGGGGTTGTGAGTTTAAGCCCCACATTGGGTGTAGATTACTTAAAAACAAAATCTTTGAAAAAACAAAACAAAAGATAAACAGTGAAAGTTTTTTCTCCTAAACCTTTTATTTGCCTAGGTTTGCTTCCAAACTTCCCATTGTTACTATTTTTTTATTCGTTTTCCTAATTTATGTAATATATGTATGTGCTTTACATATATAGAGTCTTGTTTTTATTCTTTTTATATAAAATGTAGCCCATTACACATACTTATGCGAACTTCTCCCCTTTTCAGTACAGTCCACTTCTGTTTCAAGATCATCTCCTGCAAAGCAAATATGGTTGTTGTTTTCAGTTTCCTGTAGTGTTTCCTAACTGTTGGTGGAGGGAGACTTTTTTTTTCTGGTCCATAGTATTTTTACTAAAAGGATTGTACTTTACATTTATACTTTTTTTTTTTTTAAGTAATCTCTCCCCAACGTGGGGCTTGAACTCATGACCCCAAGTTGCATGCTTTATCGACTGAGCCAGTCAGGCACCCCTAACACAGTTAATTTATGCATGGAGTATGGCTGGGTAAACACCCTTCTCCAATGCCCCTATCCCCAGCAATAATAAAAGTCTGGGGGCTCCTGGCTAGCTTGGTTGGTAGAGTATTGCAATTCTTGATCTCAGGCTCGTGAGCTTGAGCCCCATGTTGGTGCAGAGTTTACTTAAAAAGTCTACTTCTGCAGTTATGCAGTAGGGCCAGAAAGTTATGGTATTATGGGACACCTAGTTGGCTCAGTTGAAAGAGCATGCAACTCTTGATTTTGGGGTCGTGAGTTTGAGCCCGACGTTGGGTGTAGAGATTACTTAAACTAAAAAAAAAAAAGAAAGTGAGGGAATTGTTCTGGAGCCAGCTAGAGATTATAGCTGCCCTAACGAGATGTAAACTCTTCTTTCTTCATTTGTATTGTCCCTACCTCTCTTATTAATCACTTTTTCTAGTCTGTCCTCTACATAGCTATGAGCAGACAAATAACTCCAAAAGATGACTTTCTATGTGTTATTCTCAGTTGCCATCAGTGCTTTTCTGTTCTCTAAGTCCCAAAGTACAAAGTATTATTCTCTGTCTTAAGAAAATTTGCTCTGATTTTTGTATACTAAGTGCAGGCATGCTTATTTTTGGATAATTGGGGAAAGGAAGATAAGTAGAGAAAATCCATAATTTCACCTAGAGACATTCAGGCAGTACATTAGTAAGGTTAAGATCACAGGCTTGGAGTCAGATGGACTAGATCTGTGATTGGGCAAGTTTATCTTCTAAGCCTCAGTTTCCTCCTCTGCAGAATAGCATGAAGCTCTGTTTATGTGCCAAGTTCAGGTGCTTTATATGAAGGAGTATATTATTTTACTCTCTCAACAGGACAGTGAAATAGGTACTATTTGTATGTCTTTTTTTTTAAATGATGAGGCAACTTGGGGCCTAAAGAGGTTTAGTAATTTGTTCAGTGAGTACACCAGGTTTTGAACCCTGGGCACTCCAGAAATGATGGTTTTAAGTGCTGCACTACAGATTCTAGTTCAAGCAGGTAACCAGAAGTGTATGTGTATATGTGAACATTTTCATCTTGATGTTATTTTAGAACAGGAGAAAAATGAAATACATCAGTGTGGTGAGATTAGGAAATACAGTTGACCCTTGAGCAATGGCTTTCAATTGTCTGGGTCCACTTATACTTGGACTTTTTAAGTAAATACAGTACTGTAAATGTATTTTTTTTCCCTTATGCTTTTCTTTCCCTTTTTTTTTTTTTTTTTTTAAAGGTAGGCTCCAGCGTGGAGCCAAATGCAGGACTTGAACTCATGACCTGAGTCAGACGCTTAACTGACTGAGACACTTAGGCACCTCTCCTTACACTTTTCTTAATATTTCTTTTTTCTAACTTTATTGTAAGAATACAGTATTTAATACATATAAAATATATGTTGACTATTCTGGTAAGGTTTCCAGTCAATAGTAGGCTATTATTAGTTAAGTTCTTGGGGAATTCAGAAGTTTGGGTGTGGATTTTTGACTGTTGCGGAGTTGGCATCTATAACCTCCATGTTGTTCAAGGGTCACCTGTATATTATTAGTTATAAGGACAGTTTCCTTCATGGTTGGGTTTTTCCCTGAGGTTTTTTAGTTTCTGCCATTGTATGTGTATATTTTAACCTCTTGTTCCTACTTCATTTCCTTTGTCATTAAAGTTAGGAAGGAGAAATTTAGGTGAGCTGTATCTCTGTTTGCAAAAGTTTTGTTTTACTTCAACGTTCCAGAAGTTTTTTTTTTTTTTTTAAGAGAAGGAGGAGGGGAGGGACAGAGGGACAGGGGAAAGAGAGATTCTTAAGCAGACTCCATGCCCAGCAGGGATCCTGACCTCACAACCCTGAGATCATGACCTGAACTGAAATCAAGAGTCAGACGCTTAGCGGACTGAGCCACCCAGGTGCGCGCAGTTTTTTTTATCTTCACTTTTTTGGCAACATACTATTAATTTTATGGATGTTTGACTGCTTTTGATTTTTTTAGAAAGTGTTGAGTTTTCTCTCTGAAACACACTCTATCCTCTGGTCATCTTTGATATATGGATAACATGTTGAAGTATGTTTCTTTTGTCATTTCTTTTGTCATTTGAAGGCATATATTATAGGCCTTAAGAGGATTAAGATTTCACTCTTATCCAAACACTTTTCATTTCTTTGGACCAACCTTATGCATTTTATTTGTTTAAAGATTTTATTTATTTATTTTATTTGAGAGAGAGAGTGAGTGAGTGGGAAGGAGGGACAGAGGGAAATGGAGAGAATCTCAAGCAGACTCTGTGCTGAGTGTGGAACCCAGTGTGGGGCTTGATCTTATGATGCTGGGATCCTGACCTGAGCCGAAACCCAAGAGTTGGATGCTTAACTGACTGAGCCACTCAGGCACCCCAGCCTTATGCATTTTAATTTGTGTGTGTGTGTGTGTGTGTGTGTGTGTGTGTGTAGGATTTTAACTTATTTTTAGTTGTAAGACATATGATTCAAAGAAAAGGGAGTGTAGCCAGTAGATGGATAATTAAAATGAAATAATAAAATGAATATCCATGTACTCATCAACCAAGCTTATTAAGAAGAGCATTGTCCATACCTTTGACCTCTGTGTGCCTCTCTCTGATCACATTTTCCACTTCCTCCAAAGGAAACACTTTCTTGAGTTTTGTATTGTTCTTTTCTTTCTTTCTTTTTTTTTTTTTCTCCCAGATTGTCTTTATTACTCCTTCCACAAA